ATCAAAGTTAGGTCCTTGAGCTAGGCGTTGTAAAGTTTCAGAAACATTTAAATCTGTCCCAACATTCTTTTTGAACCACTCGGTGAAAGTCTTGTTATGCTTATTCAACACCCATTTTTCAGGCATTCGAGGGTTGTTTGTCTTCACTAAGTCTTTATGGGCATTTAAATAAGGAAGAACCTCATCGGTGTTGTTCAATATATACAAATGTGCTTGAAGCACTTCTTCTCGTGGCATGCCTTCAATTTTGTGCCTATCGTACCCTTCCCAGCAATTTGTTCCTCATGACGAGTCTTAGGAATGCCTATTGATTCAGCTTGGGACATGTATTCAGAACTAAACTCAATTGCTTCCTCAGCAATATACCTTTCTATAATAGATGCTTCTGGACGATGTTGGTTCTTCACATACCCTTTTAATGTCTTCATGTATTGCTCAATTGGGTACATCCATCTCAAAAAGACAGGACCACACAACCTAACCTTTGTGACCAAGTGGATGATTAAGTGAACCATAATGTCAAAAAATGAAGGAGGAAAATACATCTCCAATTGACACAATATTAGAACAGCTTCATTTTCCAACTCATCTAACTTATGTGGATCAATTACTTTGCTGCGTATGCCATTGAAAAATAAGCAAAGCCTAGTTATGACTTGTCTCACATTTTTAGGTAAAACGTCACGTATCGCGACAGGAAGAAGTTGTTGCATTAGTACATGACAATCATGAGACTTCAAGCCAACTAATTTCAAATCTTTCATTGATACTAGACTTTTTACATTAGAAGAGTAACCATGCGGCACTTTGACACCATGTAAGCACTCACAAAAACTTGTTTTCTCCTTTTTTGACAATGTGTGACATGCTGGGGGCAAATATGTTCGCTTACCCTTAGGTTGTGGATACAATTGTTGTCGTATTCCCATGAGTTGCAAATCTAGACGAGAGTTGAGTCCATCTTTTGTCTTGCCTTGAATATTGAGAAGTGTGCCAATTACACTATCACATACATTTTTCTCAACATGCATGACATCAATGCAATGTCTAACATCAAGAACTTTCCAGTATGGAAGATCAAATAATATCGACCTCTTCTTCCATATGCTTCTTTCTTTGGGTTGTTTTCCCTTCTTTCCAAGTGTCATATTTAAATTCTTCACCCGTTCATAAACTTGCTCACCAGTTAATGCAGTAGGAGCACTGTCATATTCTTGAAATCCATTAAAAGCTTTTTTTAACCTTCGATATGGATGATTAGGTTTAAGAAATCTTCGATGGCCAAGGTAAACTGTCTTCTTCCAATTAAGTAGTTGATGGTAACAAGTGTCCTCTTCACATATAGGGCAAGCTTTATGCCCCTTAACACTGTAGCCGCACAAGTTTCCATATGCTGGAAAGTCATTGATTGTGCAGAACAACATGGCACGCAACCTGAACAATTCACCTGAATACCCGTCAAACACATCAATTCCATCTTCCCACAACATCTTTAAGTCTTCCACCAATGGATTTAAATAAACATCAATGTCGTTTCCTGGTTGCCTTGGACCAGAAATCATCATAGATAGCATTAAATATTTGCGTTTCATGCACAACGACAGAGGTAAATTGTAAATTGTCAACAAAATAGGCCATGAACTATGCTTAGTACTTAAGTTACCAAACGGATTCATTCCATCCGTAGCTAGTCCAAGCCTCACATTTCTTGGCTCCTTGCCAAAATTTGGAAACAGAGAATCAATTTTTTCCATTGCAAACAATCTACTGGATGCCTAAGACTTCCATCACGCGTCCTTTCATCTTCATGCCATCTCATTAGATTTGCGTCATCCGCATTAGCAAACAAACGTTTTAATCTCGGAACAATTGACAAATACCATAAAACCTTCGCTGGAGGACCCTTAGTGCTCACATCATAATCAGAATCATCTTGTTTCTTTTTATATCGTGACAACCCACATCTTGGACATTGATGCAACCCTTCAAACTCACCATGATATAACATACAATCATTTGGGCACGCATGTATCTTCTTATACTCCAAACCTATAGGACACAACACCTTTTTTGCCTCGTAGTTACGATTAGGCAATGTGTTACCCTCTGGAAGCATTTCTTTCAGTAGCTCTAACAATTCTGTGAAGTTTTTATAACTCCATCCATTTCTTGCCTTTAAATTGAACAATCTTAATATAGTTGAAAGTCTTGTGAATTTTGTACAGTTTGGATACAACGGCTTCTCCAAATCGTTGCACATAGTTTCATACATATGTGCACGCTTGAATGATTCTGGACCAACATCACGAAGCATCTCCTCTAACCGATCATCCATATCTATCTCTTGTGTAAATGTTTGAGTTTGAGTTTCGACTGATTCACTTTGAATGTCAACATTTTCACCATGCCATATCCAACGTGTATAATTCTTAAGAAATCCATCACACAAAAGATGTTCTCTTATAACATCAAGTTCTAGGCGAGTCGCATTACAACAATTAACACAAGGACAAAAAAACCTTCCATTCATATCATCATTAGCATTTCGTATTACATATTCAATAAAATATTCTACTCCAGTCTCATACTCATCACTTATACGTGATGCATGTATCCAACTTCGATTCAATAACCAACTTTTATCCATAACTTCTGTTCTTCATAAAAAAAAAAATAGACCATGAATGTTAATCTCACTATTTTAATCATTTGTATTAAATTTCAAAAGGGAAATTAAGGTTCACTCAATATGTGCATAAATATAACATCATATTAATTTATAAAAATCAAATAAAGCACCTAATTTTTCTAAACACTAAATTACTAGCTAGACATTAATTATATCACAAATTATTAATAAAATACAAATATATAACACATACATACAAGGGGTCTAATTTAGAAAAATGCCTAAAACTGCTTGCAATGCCTAAAATTTAGTCTGGAACGGCCCCAGAACGGCCTGTACTGCAAGCAGAACGGCCTGTACTACTTGCAGAACGGTCTGTACTGCTAGTAGAACGGGCCGTTCTGCAAGCAGTACAGGCCATTCTGCTTGCAGCACGGGCCGTTCTGCAAGCAGTGCAGGCCGTTCTGCTTGTAGAACGGGCCGTCCTACAAGTAGTGCAGGCCATTCTAGGAGACATGAGACGAGAATGTTACCTTGATGTTGTATTCTTCCAAGAAAATAAGAAGCTGCACACTTCAGATGAGAGTCCGAGAGAGTAAAGAGAAGAATATATGATATTGAAGCTAAAGAGTAGAGAATGGAGCAATGGGAGCGGAGATAGTATAAATTAACCCTCTGATGCTACTTTTAAAATCGGCTGTTCAATAACCGATTTTAAAAGTGGTACTTTTAAAATCGGCTGTTCAGTAGTCGATTTTAAAAGTAGACTTTTAAAATCGGCTGTTCAATAGCCGATTTTAAAAGTGGACTTTTAAAATCGGCTGTTAAGAGCCGATTTTAAAAGTGGACTTTTAAAATCGACTGTTTAGAGCCGATTTTAAAAGTGGACATTTAAAATCGGCTGTTCAAGAGCCGATTTTAAAAGTGGGACTTTTAAAATCGGCTGTTCTAAGATTGTAGATTATAAGCCTAACACTCAACCATACAAATCAACTTGTAAGGTAAATGTTGTCCCAGCCAGTGTTTTAAAAACCGAACCGGTCATTGAACCGGTGAGAGTACTGGGTCAATGAGTCAATGGTTAGACCGGTGGGTCACTTATTAAACCGCATGACCCGGTTTCTATTAAAAAAATTAAAAAAATATTTGTTATACATATTTCATACTTACAAATTTTTTAAAAAAATCACATCATACCTTAAAAGAAACTCCAAAAAAATTACAAACACATTTTAACATAATTTTATAATGTCATTCATGAGTTTTAAGCAAATAAAACAAGTTCTAAATATGAGTAGCCAATCCTCCTTATTGCCAGTAATAAAATTTATTTAATAATAAATATCAAAGGAGCAATACACTATCTTTATTCTTTAATTAGTCAAACAATTACGTATGTCACAGACCAAAATGTGCTACTAGCTATATAACTTATCAAGTAATAAATCTATTCGAATTTTGTAATAACAATCTTCTGGATTCTCCTTCTTCAGAAATGAAAACATTTACCTTGTGAACCGGGTTCATAAAAGCCTAGCTATTCTTCTAGATGCTGAGACACGGGGACATGATACTGACGACCGGGGACCGCTGAAAGATCAGATGCATCTCCACCCCTACCTGCTCCGGTGAAAGATGCACATATACAAGCTAAAACTACAGCCAACAAATCTGTCTTTTTTCCCAGCTGTCTGAAGAAACCAACGACTATGCGGTGGTGTAGTGGTGCGACTGTGCAACTGTGTGGCTATGCAGAGTGCGGCGGTGCAACTGTGCAACGATCCGACGGAGCGACGAGCGACGCGCGATGGTGCATGAGGGTTGGGTTTGTGTCTTAAAATCAAACTGGAAAAAAAAAGACTTAGGGTTTCAAAGCTTAAGCGTGCAACAAATGGGGGCAGAGACATTAAAAATTGAAGATTTTATTTTTTAAATTAAAAAAACGATGCCATTTAAATTTTTTTTTTCCAAAAAAAGTGATGACCTGGTTTAGGTCATGAGACCCGCGAGTCGCTGGTTCAACCGGATTTTTATCCGGGTCATACCGAGTCATACCGAGTCAGCTGCACATCTGGTCTGATTACTGGTTCGGCTCGATCCAACCACCAGTTTCCGGTTCGACCGGTTCGACCGGCCGGTTCGAACTGAGTTTTAAAACACTGCTTATGACCGATTTTAAAACCCCAATTTTAAAAGTCATTTTTATACTAGTGAATATATTTTATTCTTGATATCAAGATTTTTTTATGATAAAAAAGATTAAAAAGCAAGTGAAATTGGCGTAAGTTGAACCCAAAATAATAATAAAAAAAATATATAATTAAACCAAAAACATAATAGTCCAAGTTACTAATTAGTAAGTCTCGGAGCATTAATGAAAAGCAAGTAGGTGGTGGTGGGTAACGGATTCCAATAAACACTAATTAAGGCATGCATGTGCAACAATGGACACTTATTAAGTAGAAAAGCATTAGAGTGCATGATATTGATACATAATAAGAGTAAGGGCTAAGGAATATAAGCACTTGAGGTCAACCTAGGGCTAACCAAAGCAGCGAGTGGGACCTTCTTCTGCAAGGCAAGCCCAAAGGCCTCCTCCATGTTCAACTCCCCAACCTCACTCGGCACCTTCCACTCAAAGGAATGAACCAAAGTCCCCAAAATGTAGTGCACCAGCGCAATGCCCATCCTCGTCCCCGCGCAGATTCTCCGCCCAGCGCCGAACGGAATCAGCTCGAAGTCGTTCCCGCGTGGGTCGATCTTCGCGTTGGGCCCGCTCAGAAACCTCTCGGGCCTGAACTCCAAGGGCTGCTCCCACACCTGCGGGTCCCGCCCTATGGCCCAGATGTTCACGCTCAGCCGAGTGTTCGCCGGGATGTAGAACCCGTTCACGTGGCAGGCCTGGGCCGAGACACGTGGCAGGTTCAGAGGGGTGGAAGGGTGCTTGCGGTAGGTTTCCTTGCATATGGCTTGGAAGTATGGAAGCTTTGCTATGTCTGTTTCTCTGAGACGCCGATCGCGCCCTATCACTGCGTCCATCTCTTCCTGGGCCCTCTTCATGATCCTTGGGTTCTTCACCATCTCCGCTAGGGCCCACTCTATTATGCTCGACGATGTGTCTGTTCCTGCTGTGAACAGGTTCTGAAACAAAACATTAAATACAATTTTTTCATCGTACTACAAATCAGTCACATCGCTTTCCGTGGTCCCATTTAATTTTTGGGAGCATGAATTTAACCTCGGTATTCCTTAATTCCTGTCTTGTACTTTGTTCATGATTTAACATAAGATGAGATAAAAATCCAAATTTGTTCTAAACTTATCTATATCTTATTCAATTTGGTTTAATTTAATTTTATTTTTTTTAAGAAAATTAATTTATATATAAATAAAAATAAATAATTATATTATTAATCGATTCACTTTTATAAATTATTTGATTCGGTTTGAGTTTTTTTTTTTAAAAATCAATCTATAAACACCTCTAACATTTACTTAATTATCAAATCATTAATTATACAATAACGAAACTAATTTCAATATCATGTATAATTTTCTTTTTTTTTATTTTTGGTTTAAATGCACATGTTAAATATATATAGAAATAAATATTATATTTAAATATAAATTATATTTTAAAATTTGACAAATAACTTATATTGAAGAAATTGTAAATATATATCAGATAAAAAAAAGGGGGGTTTTACCAAGAGTAGAGCTTTGATGTTGGTGAGAGTGAGTTTCTCCCCATCGGCGTCTTCACCATGATGATCCATGACCATGTCCAAGAAATCAGGTTTTCCCTTTCTCTTATGTCTGGAAGCCACATGCTCCTCAAACATCCTGGTCAACAACGCATCAAACTTCTTGTGCAATTGCTTCATCCCACGCTCTATGCCTTGCAAGTCCAACTTGGCCAAAAAGGGTATGAAGTCACCAATGTTGAAGTACCCCGCCACGGTCATGAGCTCAACCACCATGTCCTTGAACTCGTTTGACTCGGAACCCTTGGTCTCAAACACGCGACGACTCAGTATGATTTGGCCAATCATGTTAGCCATAGAGTATGTCAACATCTCAGCCACAACCACAGCCTCACCCCTCTTGCTAGAATCATACATTGCACGAAGCATGTACCCCATTTCTTCCTCTCTAATTGGACCCCAATCATCCAGAGCCTTTCCTCCAAGCATGTGTAAGTTGCTTAGTTTCCTAAGCAACTTCCACTTAGATCCGTATGGAGCAAACACCAAATCCTGTGAACCACACGGGTCCAAATTGGCACATATATAATTATGTTAGTAAATTATAAAACTATATATTTATATCTATAAAAAAAAAAATATAGAACATATAGATACAGAAAGAGAGGATTTCACTTGTTTTGAAAGTAAATATTTATAAATTTATTTCAACAACATGTGAAGATTGAATTTCATCTATTCAATAATTTCTTGTCAACATTAAATTACATCTATTGAACTATTGAATTGATAGTTATTATTAAGTAAATAAATTTTATAAAATTTTATGGTTTAAATATGTTTGTATACTCTCTAAAGAAAGATAATATTTACTTTTAGTCTTTCCGAAACAAATCTACTCATTTTACTGTCTCAATTATAAAGACTTAAATGAGACAGTTTTTTTTATTTTTTTTATCAAGAATAAAAATCATATAACACATTTTTATAAATTAGAGACTAAAAAGAACACATTAATTTTTAGTGACTTAAATAAACTTTACACTATTTATAGAGACTTAAAATATAGTTAATTAAATTTTATATAATTTAAAAATTAATTCATCTTCGTCAATCAACTTATTTTGACATATCTTGTACTTTTAAAGTTATAAGTAATTTCATTTATAAAATGACACACATATAATTATAATTATCAAGATACTATTATGTGATTCAATGTTATCCATTTATAACATATATTATTAAGGGTATTAAATGTCAAAGATTAACCCCTAAAACTAACAAGTAAATATGTATATTCAATCACATCCATTTGTATTCATAAACATGCATATATAATAACTATAAAAATTGAAAAAGGAGGTGTTGCATCCCTACCTGAGCACCATAAGCCAAGTGGGTTGCACCAGCATTGGGAGGCCTATTGGAGAAGTTCTGGTCTAGGGTTTTGAGGAAAGCACGGGCTGCAGCAGGAGTAGAAGCGACAACCATGTTGTTAGTTCCCATTTTGAGGTACATAACAGGTCCATATTTTTTTGCCATGTTGGCTAAGGTCACGTGAGGCATGCTTCCCATCAGAGGAAGTGCTCCTAGCACAGGCCACCCTCGTGGCCCCGGTGGAAGCTTTCGTCCATGGCTCTTGAAAACCGAACGAAGGGAGAAACGAGTGATGAAGAAGATCAAAATGGACACAGCAATTTCCTTCACAAGGAACAACGTGTCCATGGCGATGTGCTAAGTTAATTTTTTAGGTTCTGTGAACTGTGAATTGATTCATGATTCGGAAGAACTATGATATGAGATATATATATTCCATAAGAATGTGTGGTCTGGTGTTTGGAAGAGTACATTCACGCACATCACGTTTCCACCAACATGTATATTCTCATATTTTTTTATATTATGCAATTAAAAAAAATAAACTTTTAGTGGTATTTAATATTATTTTTAGTGACAATAAAAATGATTGCAAAATCTTTTACCAGTATTCTTACATTAGTCATTGTATACAGTGTGATTAAAACATTTATCGACAATTATTCTACATGTTGGTAAAAAATTTTATAATAGTTGAAGAAAATGTATAAATTTTTGTAACATGTTTTTTACTAACATTTAATATTTTATGTTATTATCGCTAAAAGTTTAATAAATGATTCATGACTTATGTACTCTTTAATTATCTTATTTATAGTTAATATGGGACTTGCAAAAACTTGAATTTTTTCCAATACACCTCTTCAAGTTTAGGAATATTGAGCTTGGTAATGATGAGTAGTGAGTGATTTGATACTAACTTAGAATAGTAAGTTATGAGTCTAACTCATCCACTTATATACTCTTTAATTAATTATGTTATTTCTAGTTGATGTGGTATTTAAATTTTTTTCAATAAATAATTATCGTTAATAATAAATTTTGGTATAATATAAATATATTTTTAGTAATTATTATATATTAGTGATTAATATTTTTATTAGATAATAAAATAGAGATAAATAATTTATTATTATTAAATAATTATTGTTAATAATAATTTGATTGTCCTGTTGAATTATGCTAGTAAACGAGAGAATGATTTCGTCTTTTTGTTACCTAATTAACTAATTTCAATGCCAACAGAGAGATGATTATTAGGCTTTCTCTTTGTATTTTCACTGTGTATACTTTGATTTCAACCTTTTCAAAATGGTAATTTAGAAATATTGATGCTATAGTATTTTCCTACAATTTTTCACACCAGAATGGTGTTAAATATGCGTAGTTTTGTTTTCACGTTTCGGGGAATAACTAAATACTGAAGCTATTAATTTAACTTACAATACAATTCATGAACAACAAATTCATGGTAATTTGCTAAAGGGTTTATGAAGTAGCAATTAGACATTACCATAGGTAATTGATTAAATAAATTTGATATTTAATTAAGAGTTTAATTTTGATATATTAATTAAAAAAAATTACACTGTTATATTTGACCTTAAATATGACTTGTAATATCACAAGATTAATGTTTTTTTTGTTACATAGCTTTTAAGAATATAACAATTCATAATTAATTTATAATAAATATAAAAAAATTGTAGTTTATTCTAATTAAACTCTTTAATTAATTAATAAAAGTAATTCTGATGGGAAGTGAATGAGAGACATATAGTTGTTTGTTCTTAGCAATTTTTGTAAGTGTTATATTATTTATATATAATTCATACACTCACAATTGCATGAGTACAATTTCTGAAGCATTCGGGTTCTGCGTGGATTAATTAGGAACATGATCATTAGTGATTGCGAATAAGGAAATGCATGCGTGGGTTGGTATAGAGAGTAGGTTATCAGGTGTCAAAGGGCGTGCAACCAAACCTTCCATGTTCAACTAAACGTCTTCGATCGAGAGATTGCAGCCAGCCAACTACCCTTCTTCTGTGGTAATAATAACATTTCGAGAATAACCCTAATTCAACATGCAGTGAAAGTACATGCCGTCATTTTTATTCTCTGTATCACTTTTTTCTTTTTTTAACAATTGGTTTTTAAAATAAATCTATACTGCTTAACGACTGATAATTTTCTTTTATCAAATTTTTGATCGTTTTCAAAATAAATGTTTTAAAAGCTATATCTGTACTATCCGTACCGCCATGCCGAGCTCGAACTCAGCATCTCAGTGCAAAGTGACCTCGGATACGCACTAGACGACGTCAACTCGGCATTTCATACATCCACAAAGACTAACTTTAGCATCGGAGTCTCTTTTGCAGGTACCAACCCCATCTTGGAGCAACCAACGTACCAGCGAAGGAGGCTCATCGATCTTACCCAGCGGATCGTCCCCTACGACCGATCTCCGGTAAGAACATTTGGCGCCCACCGTGGGGCCGGTCAAGACAGCTCTTATCGGCCACGCTTATGGTTTTCACCAGAAGCCATAGCAGACGCGCAACTGACGACCTAGATAACACAACTAGCATGGACAACGAAGCAACATTGAGACGACTGATCGAACAGGTCAAGCAGATGCGGCAGCAACACACCGCCGATCTGCAAAGCATGCGTGTCAAGCACGAAACTAACCTAGCAGCAATGCGTACCGCCAATGAAGCTGACCTAGCGGCGCTGTGTGCTGAGAATGAGCATATTCGCGCTCAACTCCCTCGGTGCTCCTTTGATCAACCCCCTCAACCGAGTAACCAACAAGAGGAAGAGGGGCACTCGGTTTCTCAGCCACCAATAGTAGACATTCTTAAGTCAGAAAACCAAGAAGTGCAAATATAAAAGAAAAGCCACAAAGCATGGCACCAACCTCGGTGGCCTGGACGACCTGTTCGGCAGCTGGAGCAACCTCCTCGGCAACCACTTGGGAAGCCCCCTCTGGCGGACTCCCCGTGAGGTCGACCGCATCAGCATCAGTGGCCTTGGAAGTAACTTCCTCAACATCTCGAGGGGCAGAGGTCCCCCCGACCTGCTACACATCGGTCGCACGCACCGACAAACAGGTCGGTCCATGAAGTCAGCATTGCTCCAGCCCAGGTTCCAGGTAATCAGGCAAGCATCCGCCGCCACCCCTTTGTGGATGGTATCATGGAGACACCTCTGCCCTTTGGCTGGAAGCCCCTCCACATCGATCGCTACGGCGGCACGACGGACCCGGACGAGCACGTCGACCTATATATGTCACACAAGTAAACCTCTACACTAACGATGATGCTGTTTTGTGTAGAGTTTTCCCGACCTCACTCAAGGGGGCTGCATTGAACTGGTACACCCAGTTACCTGCTGAATCAATCGAAAGCTTCGACACCCTAGTTAGGTGATTCACGACACAGTATGCCACGAGTCGACCTCACCATGTCACCTTCGCCGCCTTGGCCAATCTCAGGCAGGGCGACGACGAACTGCTGAGGGCGTTCATGGAACGTTTTGCCAACATCTCGGTCAAGATTCGGAACCTGAATCCCGAAGTTGCCCTGCACGCCATGCTTATGGCACTCAAGCCCAGACCGTTCGTCGATAGCCTATATCGTGAAGCTCCTCATGACATGGACGAGCTTCGCGCCCGTGCTGCTGGGTACATCCAAATGGAAGAACACTCCGCCTTCCGTGACCAGGTTCGCGGAAAATCACAAGAGAAGCCTGACAACGGTCACAAAGACAAGATGAAGGTCACCAATGACAGCTAGTTCAAGAGAACTGCCAAGGCAAGCAGGGGGGGAAGATACGACTTCTACACTCCCCTGAATACGCCCCGAGTACACATCTTGGAGGAGGCCAGTAATAGCAACCAGCTCACGCTGCCACCTCCAAGTCACACTCCCAACAGTGCGGACAAGTCCAAGCACTACAGATACCACAAAAATCACGGTCACACCACTAAAGAGTGTCGCACACTCCGAGACCGTATCGAAGAACTCATCTAGACAGGTCACCTCGGCCAATATGTCCAACGACAGCAGGGTCATAGAGGAGGCTACGGTGGACGAGGACGAGGCAGAGGCCGTGGTTCGGGAGCTCGCATGGACCAACCCTCTAGCTCTCAGCAAAATGCCGATGGAGCAGTGCAAGCCGAGGTAAGCCAGGAAATAGGGTCAGCTCCCCTATAGGGAGTAATCAACACAATTGCAGGTGGCTTCACAGAGGGAGGCTCTAGTAATTCGGCGCGAAAATGACATTTGCGCAGCATCAACAATGTCCACTCCGCCACCTCGGCCTCGCATCAAAGCTCGCCTCCGATCACCTTCACTAACGACGACTACGCTGGCGTCAGTCCCAACCAAGATGACCCGATGGTCATCGCCGTGGAGGTCGCCAATTGGGAGGTCCACAAGACATTGATTGACCAAGGGAGCTCGACTGACGTCCTGTATTGGCCGACGTTCCTCAGGTTAGATATCCCTCACTCCCTCATCCAACCTCACACAGAGCCCCTAGTCGGTTTTGCAGGAGAGCGAGTACATACCCGAGGGTACGTGGACCTGCTGACAACTTTCGGAACCTCTCTAGACACAAGGTGGATTATGGTCCGATACCTCCTCGTGGAAGCCAACACCTCCTACAACATAATCATTGGGAGGCCGACGTTGAACCAACTCGGAGCGGTGGTGTCCACCCCACATCTCACCATGAAGTTCCCAGGGAATGGCGACAAGATCATCTCTGTCAAGGCAAACCAGAAGACGGCTCAGCAATGCTACGCCGAGAGCCTGAAAGTTTCTTCAGCCGACGAGCGTTGCAAGAGTGATCCCCCCACAGTTGCTCACATCACCCACGTGGATATCATTGACCTCGACCCGAGGTCCGACTCCCATGATGAACGACCGAGTCCCATCGACAAGCTCGATGACCTCCAGATCGGGAAACTCCCTAGACAGTGCATGAAAATCAGTAGGCAGTTGAGCATGGAGTTACGGCAATAGCTCAAAGCTGAAATCCTCAAGAACGCCGACCTCTTTTCATGGTCCAGTGCCGACATGCCAGGTATAGACGCTAACTTCATTTGTCACAGGTTAGCAATTCACAAGGAGGCAAAGCCCGTCGCTCAGAGGAAGCGGAAAGTCGGTGGTGAAAGGCGGGAGGCCATCATCACCGAGGCGCAAAAGCTGCTAAACGCTGGCTTCATCCGTGAGGTCAAGTACACCACATGGCTGGAAAATATGGTTCTAGTAAAAGAGAGCTCGGGGAAGTGGCGCATGTGCGTCGACTACATCGACCTAAACAAAGCATGGCCCAAGGACTCGTACCCCTTGCTGAGCATCGACATGCTGGTTGATGGAGCATCCGGACACGCCCTTCTCA